AAACATGGTATTAGCCCTCAAACTGACAGCAAAACTCTTCCTAACCCTTCAATGGCAAAGTTGAGCCAAGCTATTTGCATAGATGTATTTATTCTTAGCTTTTAATACTGCTCAAAAAAGAGGCTTGAACTTGAGTATTTGAACAATGAAGTATTCAAAAAAACAGGTGATATCATAGGCAAAATGTGTTTGATAGCACTGGATGTGTTTGGGGATATTTGTTTTAAAATACACCAAAAATTATAAAACTATTGAATTAAAAATCATAAGAGGCTGCAGAACAGTGTTGTGGGGGAGGTGAACCCAGAGAAACCCCATCTAGATAAAACCACCAAGCCAAGCGCAATTCCTTCGGGTAGAGGTATGAAATACTTGCTTAAAAGGGAAAGATGTAAAACATTCAGATTTATTTTTCAAGTGCTTACATAAGCCATGGACCAAACTTGATTGAAACCTGAGGTGAAAGGACTGCAAAGACATATATACAGGTATGTCTAAGGCCATCATAAAATTGAAACCTGACAATTAACTAAACAGAGTTCTGAAGACTTATTTTCTATGGTAGATGCATTGCTCATGTTTATTCTAAGCTTGAATAGCTTCTAAAAAGGAAACACATTCTCATTAATAAAAGGCTACTGGATATACTAAAATGCACCTCAATACCAAGATGTCAGGTGTACTCTTGATCCACTACTGGGATCAAGAGCATGTCTTAAAGGAAGGAGAAATTGGTCACCACAGATGGAACTGAGCTACTTACACCCATCTGATTATTACAAAGTAGGGAGGAACAGAATCTACCTTTAAATATTAATGGATTAATACCTGCAGCAAGAGCTAATGACAATAAATGTAATGCAGAACAAAATGCCAAGTCAGGCTGAAGTTTTCCTAATACACATGCTGCTCAAACTGGCTTTAGAATGTGGGGTTTGGAAAAGATTTCCTTCCCTCCATTAAGGCTGGATCTACAAAGCCACAGATCATTTCAATGCACTCAATTCTAAGTGCCTAGGAGTGTGGTTAATGGACTAGCACCTCTTCCCTTAGTTAAATCGTTCAGCAAATCAAGAGATTCTGTGATACTACACCAAAAACCCAACAGTGCCCAGCTTCTGCAGCTGGGGAATGCACATGAATCAGAGCTGCAGCTCTGAAGCTCCATGGAAGTGTATGAGGGGCAGGGGCTTCCTCTCACATACAGGAAGAGCCATTAAGTTTCTTCAAGTTGACTACAGCACAGATGTATAATGCTTGATGATCCAAATGCAACATCCAATACTAAGCAGCCCGGTGTAGTTCTCAGAAGCACAGAACCTTTCCTCTTGGAAAATGCACTACCAGGATGAAAAACATTCCAGTGTAAAAGCACACAGTATTTGCCAACCAGGAAGCTTGAAGAACCTTCCCCATCTCCCTCCCTCTGGAAGAACAAACTGGCAAAAGAGAAACACATTCTGATTTCAGCAATTAGCCTTCTGCATGACCTCTCAGGTGTGCTCATCTAATGTTAAACATGGGAATTATCCCAAAGGTCTCATCAAAGCTCCCTCTTTATGCTCTGCCGCTGACTACAAGACAGCCATGATTAGTATGAGACCAACCAAATGTTCTGATACTGATGCTGTGGTTGAACAAAGACAATAAATTGTCATTTAGAGAAAACCAGATTCAAAAGAAACAAGACAATTCTGCAATGTTTGATTTCCCAGACAATAATCAGGACTATATTTAAACCCACATTTAAATGAGGAAATTATCTTGAAGTTCGAAAGGGGAAGTTTATTGTTTGGGATCATTTCCTGCTTGCTCTTCTCATGAGGCTCTGATTTTATGGTCAGTGGTGAAGACTGACCCAACCCATCTGCAAGAACTTAGCTGGTACTAGCTCAAGCAATTAAAGCCTTTCTAGCCCCATCCACATTCAACGCAGATGGAATACGGGTGCATAGATTTAAAGACTAAAATACACACCTACCTATAGTCACAAACCTCAACTCCAGGTATCAAGCTGTGTCATCAAGTATCTGGTCTGATACTTTGCACACACTTTAATCAAGCAGTTTTGCATGAGCAAGAGGGATGATCTTCATTTTCAGGGTGTGAGTGGCAGCCTCATTAACGGAGCTGGTAATGAGCAGTGTTCTCATGTCCCTTTGTAGCCACAGGAGATACAGAGAATACAGTACAATCTTGCCCCCTGAGCACAAACACTTGCATCTCAAGTGTGCATTCATAACTGCTTCTTGCAAAGACGAGGTAAGAAAAGCCAACTACTCAGCTCAGACTGTGTCAGAAACTCAAAAGAAAAGAAGATCAAGATTTTTCTTACCAGTTGGTTTTGTGTCTTATTCTGCTGGACCACAAAGGTTTTGCCCTATTTGCTTTTAGTTGTGTGAAGTTTAACCACTATTTCAATATCATTTACCATCTTTCCAGTATTTGTCTAAGTTAAAGGCTTTTCACTAACGTTTCTCTCTCCAAAGCAGTTATTCAGATGCCATTTGGAGGAATGAAGGAAGCTTGATCCATTCTCCAAAGACACAATCAAAGAATCTCCCCATCTAACAAATCAGGTCAGCAGGACATTTTGAGAAGTAGTATTTAAGGGCACAAAGTTCTCAGCAGAACACATAAACTGGCTATTAACAGGAAATCAACATTACTCTTCCACCTACTCTGAATATTATGCTGTAGGGATTGCTGTACACAAAAGATAGTATCTTAGAAAGAAAGTAGGGGTTAAGGAAGTTTAGACCTTCCTCCACAGCAAAAGCACAAAGGCATATTGGTGAACTGTTCTTTTTTGGACAGGGAGAACACAGAAATAAAACACAGCACAATGGCGACCTTAGGTATGAGACAATAGCTCATGATTTCAAGAGTTAAATCTTTTAGGATGTCTAGGAAGGATCCAAGTTTCCCAGACATAGTAACATTAGGCAGAAAATCTGAGTGATTTATCAGTTATTCACTCAAGAATCCTCATACTACAGCCAAGAGGAAGCAGGATGCTGAAGCTACAAATGGGTGCTCAAACACATACCACCACTCATTATCAGAGTTATGATAGAGAAGCCCCTCTCCTCACAGTGGCCTTGCATGCAAGCACTCGTAACTAATCAGTTACACTCCCCAAAGACTGATTCACGTAAGAATCAAGTAAAACCACCAAAGAGAGCAACCGACGTGTCTACACACAGGTTCAGACATAGAACTTGATTATGCTCACTCATGCTTTCCAACCACAAGCACCAGGCCCAAGTTATCCTACAGCAGCACCTAACTAGAATAAAAACAACTTTGCCCACTGGCATGGAGAAAGGGCTCAGCAACAGAACCAGCCCAGAACCATTCTGCCTCAACAGGTTCATTTCTATAATGCCCTTTCATTTCTGTATGTTCATTTCTATAATGCCCTTTTCCAAAAGAAGCCTACCTTGGAATGCGTGTGATCTCGATCTAACTCTGCTCTAGAGCTATGTTATGCAGTGAAGATACTTAAAAGCTCCTCTTAGGCCAGAACAGCAGTTAGTGGATCTTTGTGCCACACTGTGACTCAAGCTGATGTTTCAGTATACTGTTTATTAGACACATGTATTGAGATTAAAGGAGTCAGTGCAAATTCCCAGATTAACCACACGTAACGTACTTGTTCTACGGTTGTTACTATTATAACACATCTCCTTCTATCATCACACAGTGGAGCAGCTACTCTAAAAGACCATTTTCACACATGGAAAGGCTCACAAAGCTGGATCTCAGTTAAAAGGCCTCTCAACTACCCAATGTTTTATCAATAAATTTAAGGTGAACGTAAAGAAAAACCAAACCCAAAACCTTAAGTGGAATGTTCTGATGCATTCATCAGGCTTTAATTCAGTATGCTGCAAGTTCACTCTCAAACTACAATTAGCTATTTAAGAAGCATTTGGTGTGCAATGGAAAAAGCTGAACAGCTTGTGTTCTATCAACCATTTAAAAAGCCGATGCACAAAAGAAGTAATTAGAAAAGAAGAATTCACTGGTTTCCTACATCAGTTCAACATGAAAAGGTTTGTCTTTTTATTTCTTTTTTCTTTTTTTTTTCCAGTTAAAAAACAGTTGGGACTATTATCTCAGTAATAGCTTCCTAAAAAAGACACAGAACAGCAACTTCTCACCGGACTGCAGTTTATATTGTATGGTATGGAATGTTTCTAGGTTTTGACTAAAACCACTTCTTCTAACCATCAGCATCGTCTCAAGATGTCTGGTGTGGAATATTGTCTTCACAAGCTTCTCACTTTTCTCAGTACAAACATTTCTCATTTGTACTCTTCACACAGAACATGGGAAAGTGATAGTACCCCCTATTTGTATGGAGTTTCAGGTTATTTCACAACGAAGTCAAAATAGCTGACTACAAGTTCGGAAAGCTCAAGTTGTGATACAAAGTAGAAACGACCCTCTGAGTGAAAACAACCTTCAGTTTTGTATACAACAATTAAACAACATGTAGCTGTTCCTTAATTTCACCCTTCCACAGGTAGGAATTACCGGATGAGCAAAACTTAACATATATATAGCACTTTTCTTCTTGCATGTGCTATAGAATGCAACGTAACTACCAACACCTCTATGGAGGCAGCTATCAATATATTCTCCCCACTGCAGAGAGAGTGCATGTGCGCGAAAGGTAGGCACAAGTGATTTTTCCAAAGATTATATCACAAGTATGCAGTAAAACTTGAATAAGACTTGGTATTTTCCAGCTCCTAGTCTTATGCCATTTCTTTTATACATTGCTGCCTTGATGAAAAGGAAAAGTCCGTAGAAAGAAGTTCCCCAGAAATCACAGCTATTAGAATAAAATCGGAAACACAGGAGGTGCATTTACATGTAGTCAGGAAAAAAAGAGAATCTATCAGGGCAAAAAAAACCCCAAACAAAACGTTACGAAATGTCACCCCATCACATTAAACTTGTTTCAGTCGTTGAAAACCAGTGTTCCAGGATACAATTTTTATAAACATGTTTTATTTGTCTTGCTTATACCATTAGAACTGTAACTGCTGGCTGTCATTTCCCTTAAAAGGGGAAATCAATTCAAACACATACTGGTGCTTTTCAAAAGATAGCAATTAAAAGGGCAGCAGCAGCGGGCATTTGAGATTTCTTAAAACCTTCAAGGCTGCAGGAAAGACAAAAGGACATGTGACCAAAAGTGTTATGATTATCCATTAGAGATTTCCATCAGTACCGGCATCAGTTATTTAGGTGATAATACAGCAAGGTCAAGTATTAGTGACAGACAATGTGCAAGTCATAAGGAATGATAGAGAATACCAATCCTTACAAAAGTCATTGCTATCAAAGAAACTTAAAAAGTGTTTCAAAGAGAGAATCTAAATACTTCACATCAAATATACAGTGGCCATCCAGGTTTCCTCTCACATTTGTTGCAAAATTCTTTTGGAAATGCCAAATCAAAGCTTTTTTTCTTTTTTTCCATATTTTCTTTTCTTTTTAAAAATAATTACACAATTACATTAGCAGTTATGCAAGCGATCTTAAATCCTTAGCCACAGTGAACAGGGCCCTGGTGATGAGGAGTGCTGCAGCTAAGGGTGCTGCTTCTTTGTCAAGAGCTGGCTATAAGCCCAGTTGTCTGTTTAGGGAAATATGCATCATCACACACCTTTGAACTGTTCAGTGCTTCAACTGAGTATGAAAAAGCTGAAATGCACTTGCTCTGTCAAGCCACACTTCACCTTTTCCATCCTTTCATGGGAACGTTACGTTTTGTCAACTGCCATCACAGTAAATCTATGAATTTGCAGATTTTATACAAATTTGTTACATCACTTTCAAATGTCAGAAGTGAGTCTTTGCTTTTTTCCTTCCACTTCAGTTAACCATGGAGATTGGATCACCCTGAAAATTGCCTTTTTTTTTTGCTTACTCTTAGCAAGGGTGAGGAATCTGAATCTCATGTGCAAGGCTCAAGATGATGCTTAGGACAGAACATGCAGAGTAAACGTTGTTTCGTTCCTTTCAATATCCAGGTAATATAAAGCTGGCAACTGTAGTCCTGTCATTATGGGTAATGAAAATAGTCCCTTTACAACAAACTTCCTGTAAGGGAGAACAAATAGATAATAACTCTTCTGGTAACATGTATAGTACACTGGCCAGCGTGTTTTTGGCGTTTAATGTAATCCCGTGAATTCGTTTAATTCACTTGCTGAGCATTCATTTGAGGCATCCCTCTGTTTGGTCTTGGGGGCCCTCCACGACCTAGAAAACACAAAAAGGCTCTTGAATTTTGCATGAAGTCAGGTTATTTAAAGAAGAAACCTCCTAAAAACCCTGGTTTAAACTGTGTAAGAATCCCAGGTGTGTATCTAGACTACATACAGTTCTAAAAGCTCTTTCAAATCAAAACTCAACAGTGTACAACCTGTCTTTTACAGTTTTCAGCTTTATCCCAATACTTTCTTTCCCCGTAACTAAATGGAACCATTTGAAGTAAAAAACTTGCAGTCATGTAAGGCAATTATTTGTTTCACAGACAGTGGAATGTACAGCCTCAAGATGTCCTCACTGAGAAGGTGCTCTAGTGATAACTCTAGATTCCAAAGGAAATGCCTGCACTGAGACAGAATAAAGTCTCATCAAAAACCTACTAAAAAAAAAACAAACAAAAAAAACCCAAACTGGAAATAGGGTTGAAAATAAAATGCAGAAGTTCAACTAAAGCCTCATTATGTACGTGGGGGTTTTGTTTGGTTTTCGCAGACGGATACATGGCAAACTTATGACAACACACCCCTGTAAGCTAAATTCTGCAGGATCAGAGAACGTATGAGCATAGAGGGAAGTTTTGTATGCTTAGGTCAAGAAAGACCTCTGCAACAGATGCAGCAGCACATCCTTCAGTGCAACAGAGTAACATGCAATTCTGTAGGCTGACAGCTCAAGGCCAATGTCTGCTTTATAAGTAAGACTTACTTTGCAAGTTACTAATGCATGTAAGTAAGCAGATCTTAAGTCACGATAAAAAAAAACCAAACTTTAAGGCTTTCATTAATAAAAGGCAACTAAATAGTTCTGCTACATTTAAAGTATCAAAAGCAACTGTTGTTTTAACTTCTTGTCAAAGAATTCCTCATTTAACAGCTGACTTCCATCCCAAGTTCAAAGGATCACAGTGCAATTCTAGCCAGAAGGGACCTCAAGAGGTCCTCCAACCCTGATTCAAAAGCAGGGTCAGCTCCGATGTCAGAGGGAAGTAAGCTTATTCTTCAACTGTGACCTGCTGAATAAGGAGTAAGGTCACTTTTTAAGCCCAAAACTCCAGAAGCTGGAGCAAAACCTTCCATTCAACCCAAACCCATTATTCAGTACTCAGGAATTACCTCTAGGAGCTCCCCGAGGTCCACTTTGTCCAGAGCCACGTTTGAAATTCTGCTGATACCCATCCTGAAGCAAAGAAATGAATAAAGTTAAAACTTTAAACCTAACCTTTGGTTATGTTTCGGGAAGCCAATAAAATAAGGAGCTTTTCAAACAATATGCCCTGACAAAACACCTGTGACTTCAGCATATAGTATTTTATTGGTCTAAATTTGTACTAGAAAAATGAATTCTTATTCCTGCTAGTACCTTGTAGGTATAATAAAACATACAATGCCAAAATCTCTCTCCAATTACAGGTTACGCAGTTCAATATGAATAAGAAATGTAAATGCTTATTTAGTGTTCCAATTTTTCAAGCTACCCAGAGGTCAAACAGATTCATTTGCTGAAGGACCAGTCAATAAATGAAATGACATTTTAATGGCAGGATCAAAATGTCATCTCATTTGCTTACAAATACTTGTCTGGGCATATGCAGAGTTAAGACATCCTCCAGTCAGTCTAAGCTTTGCTCAAACTGAGCAGACTTCCTTCAGAACAACAAACTTCTACACAAATTTCAGAGTACCAGAAACAGGCAACCCCAAACAAACCTGAAAAGTTCATTTCAACAGATTTAAGTTTCCTTCTCACTTTAGAGTTCTTTATAATTCATGCAACCTTGCTCTACTTACTACACTAACTCCTTTAGAGAATAATCAGCCAAACAGTACATGTTTCCCAAGCATAATCAGCCATTCAATAGTCTATTTCTTTCTGTTTAGTATCTGATTTTTTTGTCTTTATTAGCAATAAAAAAAAGCCCTTGAGTGCTTTCACTGTGCTTTTTCATAGGTACTTCTAGACTGTCACAACACAATAGCAGCTTACCCGCTGGTAGTTTGAGTAATCCCGAGGAGCATTAAACTGGGGCTGCGTATAACCACTGTTTGGAGTGTTGGAAAAGGAAGGACGGTAGCCATCATATCCTCCTAAGGAACAGGGCACAAATCTTTCACTTGGAAATGATAACTTATTACTTTATGCTGCCATTTAAAGAAAAGCAGTAACAGCATTTTAACTAAACCTGAGGAAAAACCTTTAGTAAGTACAGTTTACCTGCAAGTCAAGCAAACATTAGTGCTAACAGTATTACAAGAATGAAGACATAGTAAGAACTGGGAGGAGGAAGCAGCAAGTCAATGCATTTCTCTAGTGATCTGAGGCTTTATTTACATATTCAATCCAGAGCTAAACATAATACTAGGATCTAAATGTACCAGCTGTGACCTGCAAGGCCACAACAGCCAACATGAGCAAGAAGCTGCTCCTGTGCCAAGCCTCTTACAAGTGCTGAGAACCATGTCCAAGGATGGCTCCAGTCCCAAGGATCTAATGCTGCAATCCAGATCAATTTTAAGCAGACATGTAGCAATCAACTGCATTCCCTACTACTCTCAGTTGTATTTTTATTGTACAGGTTTCTTATCTACTCTCCAAACACTTGAGAGGAAGAGAACGTGGCAAAAGCAGACAGCGCTGGACCCATTAGTCTAATCCCAGACTACCTGACAAGGAAAACACCTCTCTCCCCCATTTCAAAAGACACATCTTTGTAACATTGACAGCATCACACAGTAATCTCCAGGAATCATAACAGCTCTCATATTTATCCAGAACTACAGTTATCATTCCTCTGCTCCTGTTAATTCTCTCAGATTAATGACTTCTGGATGTCTGTGTTCTAGTATTTCCATATTATTCAACCTATCCTCAATATAAAACACAAAAGTCTAAAATACACTGCTTTTACCATAACTGAAAATAAAAAGCATTTCTGAAATATCAATTTGCATCTGAATGCCTCACTTGCTGGTTGTGAAACTGTTGGATACTTCTGTGCTTGCTTATACTTGCAGGACATGCCTAATCAAATTAACACTAAGCCTTCAGCACAGAACAGAGAAGAAAGATGCTTCTGCGTTACATTCTCCTAGGAAACCAAACCAAACACCTCAAATTTCAGTTAGCTAAAGCAAATGGATTTTTTTACTGCAAGTTTAAGTATCTTACAGAGCTACTATTACAGTATTAAAACAATGACAGGTTGGTTTAACACTTTTAACTTGACACTCTGCTTCCAGAAAGAAGTCAAAGTGAAACGAGTGAGTTTAACAAAGCTGTTTACCTCTAAATCCATTTGCCGGTCCCCTGTAACCGTTCATTAAGCCACGAGCCCCACGTGAGCCACCACGAGACACTCCTCGACTGTTGTAATAAGGCTGACTGTTCCGTGGAAATCCAGTGTTCTGTTGGGGAGGTTGCTGGTGGTTACCTGCCACTTGATGAGTCTGGTCCGGGGAACCATGGTAAGTACCAACCACTAAATTGGAATGGGGGACAGGGAGGAAGGGGGAGAAAATGAAGTATAAGAGTCTGCATTTATGTTCCCATATACAGACTTCACACACTCAACATTCAAATCCTCACCCATTCAAAGAAAAATCATTTGCAGAATTAAGTATCAAGCTTATTAGCCAGATATCCCACAATATTTAAACAACCTAAAACTGGTAGAGAGTTGATATGAGTCAGCATTAAGAAGTACCTAGCGTAAAGTCAACAGCAAGTATTCCTCATACAGGGGCAATTTTCCTGTGTTATTTCAAACCCTTTAAAAATCAACAACACATGCTCTAGGGGCAAAAAAACCCACCCCAGTTACAAGTAAGTTAACTCACTTCTGTAACTTTCTCCCTTCTGAACTGGCAGAAAGCCACCAAGAAATACTTGCTCTCACCAACTAAATTCTCTCTCTCAGCTGTGCTAAGGTGGGATTGATGGGAACATTTTAACCAAGCTGATGTTTTGACTGCATACAAGCTGGGGGAGGCAAGAACAGGATGGACAACTTGAGATTATATGTGCTTTGAAGTACGACTACCTCTTTGAAGTAAGGTATGCCACAACATATTCACAGGAATCACTGGATTACAAAAGCAATCTGAGGATTACAGGCTCAGTAAGCGCAATAAAAGATTAATTCTGTATGTAAGAGCAAAACAGCTGTAAAATGTAACCTGATACTAAATGCTGAAGGAAGATCTCACAATTTGTGAGCAGGAAGTGCCTCTCATTTGCAGAAAGTCTCCCAACAGGGAACGCAACTTTCTGTCTACCCCATTCATCACAGAGTGCTGTGGAACTTACGCAGATACTCCCTTCTCCCAGCTTCCCACTGACTCTTGTGGAATGCATGAAATGGCCATCCTTTGGGGTGTTTACTGTCTGCAGGTTTTGTTCTAAAGCCATCGCATTTTCTGTGTCTCATGAGTTCCCTTTACTGTTACACTAAGTTTAGCATTTAATACTGCATGGCCCACCTTCCACACCAGCACTCCCCAGATTGTCTTTCTGCCTTGCAGTGTAATATGGCTCAAAACCCATAGAGATAAAAAATGAAACTTGGTTCTCCCTCTTCTTATCCACCCATCCCAGTATCACAACCTACAAGGCAGATTTCAAGATCATAATCAGTTGAGAAAAAGGACTGGTCTCCTTTTCCTCACTCCATGTCTGGTAGTTAGCACTTCACCCTTTGTCATCTCTTTTCTGTGTCCTTCACTCAAAATCCCCCTCTGCATCTGCACATTTTATCTCGGTGGAAAATGAGGAAGTACTGGGAGAAGAATAGCTTTGTACATAGACTTTATTTTACTGTTTGTTGCCAAGTTGGAAAGCATTTTGCCTGCTGATTTCAAACCATGTCTAACCGGTTTTAGCTAACAAAAAGGTCTAGATCTTTGTGAACCTTCCATCATCTGTCAGAACCAATCTGTATTTGTTCTCAATTCTAGCTTACTATTTCCTTTTTGAAATGTCATATCATATGGTACAATCTTTTTTAAGCATTCAACCTTAACACCAGCAGAGCAAGTCCTCCACTATACTGCTTTCATCTTTAGAACAATCCTTAATCCTGTTCATGTTTGGGTTTTTTTTTTTAACCCACATAAAACTGAACCAACCAATTCTTTAACAGCTGGCAAGATGTATACTGAATTTCAACCCCAGCTGGGCATTCACACCGAGCCAGAATAACAAACTCCAGTATTACTGAGGGGAAGGCTTTCAAGACTAGACATTTGAGAATGTGTGACATGTTTTGCAACATCATCTAGGACCTCACACCCTGATGATCACCTGCTTTACTGAGGCTACTGCCATTTTAGTTTTTGCTAAAGTAACCTTACCCGTCTGGAGTTGCTCTTGCTGAAGATCTGATTGTTCTACTTGGTGAGGCTGATTGGAGAAACTCTGGTTGTAACTGGCCTGGTACTGGTTTTGCTGCTTAAGGGTTTCTGGCTCATTAACAGGAGGAACGGGTGCATTCATGTTGAATACCTACAACGTGAGAAAAACAGCTCTTTGGTCCAATTCACTTCTTAAAATTCTTCATTGCATCATATAAAGAATTATCCAAGTCTGGCAAATGTGAATAACCAAAGACTATTCTACGTAATTACAAGACTGATTCCACTGTTTGTACAGAAAAAGAATGACTATCAAAATAAAGGAACTCTATACTGATCTACTACTTACTGTTTGCATGGATTGGAATGGAGCTGCATTAACATTGATTCCGCTGCTATGCAAAGGCTTGCTAGATCCAGCCTGGAACACCTGTGGCTGGGATGCAGTGGGAAGTGATGATGATGACGGGGTCTGGTCTGCATTCAGTGACATTGAAGCCTAACAATTAAAACACACAACATTTAAGCAGCTTTTGCATAATACTACATAATTTTACTTAAAACCCTTACTTTAAAAAACCCAAAACACCACATAAAAAAGTGACAACCCTCATATTCACCTCAAGAAATGAGTATTTTCTACTTCAGCTGAACAGCCTCATCACAACAGCTTAATGGGAGAACATAAATCTACCAGTCTTCTCCTCCATTAACTTGAAACACAACTAGAAAAACTCGAGGGGGGAATGAACAAGGTTTCTGGGCTAAACGCTAGCCAACGTATAAAACATAAATCACATTTCTTAAGCCAACAACACTGATGCTCACGTTGGCATCTAACTAAACAATCTTGTTTATTACAAGTCTTGCTATGAAGGAGTAACTGGTCACAGATAGCTTCAAAATGTTGAAATTACATGGAACTGAAGCAGTCCTATCTACAGGTGACTGAGAATTAAAAGCCACATCTTTATTTACAGAGAACCATAGACTAACATTTGATCCCACCTGCAAGCAAAGTCCTTCCCACCCCCTGTGAGATCAAGACTTGCCTGAATCTGGTCAATTGATTCTTTCTGTGGCCGTTGCTCTGTTGTGTGAGAAGGCTGATACATGGGTTGGGAGGCTGTATATCCCTCACTTGTAGAAGAAACCAAGGGCACCTGATAAAATAAACCCCAAAAGCCAGCTGATGCTCACACACAGTTTTAGTAAGAGTATCAGCTCTAGAATTAGCACTCTCAAGTCTCTATTCCAGCAAATCTTTACAACTATTATAAATTAAAGACTGTTTTAACAAGTAAGAGATTTAACCACCTCATCTTGACATGTATTCTAAACATGTCACACCATCCGCCCCCTGCCACAGTGTATTCTGTGGCTATTTCTCAACTGGCTGGACATGTATTTGCTTCTACTAAAGAATATCCTTTTCCTCATTTCCCTACACAATCCTAACCACAATAACAGTAAGCATGGGAAAAGAAAGACAGGAATATACAGCAGTGTAAATGGGAGAACTCCAGGCTCATAGAGCAATTGAGAAGGGCTGCTTTCCAGTGGACTGGATTTGCTCATTTTACAGCCTTTGCTCCTCTGCACAGAGTCCAGTGAAAACTCTAACCAGCAAAGTAGAGGACTTTGCATTTAAGGCTATCAAGGACTTCAAGAGGCAACTGATAACAACTGGTGGGTGTGTTCACATCACCTTGCTGAGCATTCAAAAGCTAAGAGGTACAGTAAGCTATTGCTTGTAATATCCCAAAGAGAATCACTGGCAGCACTGCTTGGGGTAAGGAAAGCAAGGAAGAAAAACCCCACAGATATCATCAGCAGTAAAATAAAAGTTGGTGCAGAGAGAATTCTCTGCCAAAAAGAACAGCCTACACTTACAAAACAAAACTGCCAAGAATGCTACCACTTCAGCAGGTACATACACAGGAAACCAAAGGGAAAAAAAAGAACCACATTCCTGTTTCTGTACAAATAAATGACTTAAAACTTGCAGATCTAATCTGGACAAGATAAAGCAAGCAAGTAACACTATTCTTACTCGGAGATAAAAATCTGGATAGATTGTGTCTTTTGCTTTTCAAATATCTACAGGATCAGACTTACTACTTGAGACCAGCAGAGTCCCTCAGAGGTGCCACATATGCTCAATTCAAAATCAGGAAGTTCCTTATCACTAGACAGTTCAGTATTAAGCTGGCATAGTTTAATGAAAAGGTGAATACATCATTTATACAATGCAGCAGCAAGTTTAAGAGATGCTACTTTAACAGGAGTTTTGGGAAAGCTCAGCTGAAAGCAGCATTGAAGCTCAATCTGAGTGCTCTACAACTCCAGTATTAAAGTAGTATCCAAGCAAGCAACTGGGACTAAATCCTTAATAGAACACAAACTATACAGTTAATCCATTAAATCTATTTGTGGTGACACCCACTTGACAGATACAGACTGCCCTGGAACCAAGTTATTTTGGTTTTGGTATTTCTGTTGCAAAGAAGCAAATACAGGACAACTTATTCTAGCTAAATTAAAAATACTACTACACATGGTTTCACACAAAAAAAAACACTGCTAGAGAAAGACTGACACATCTAATTATTACTTCATCTTGCACAGAATGCACAGAGAAGCCTCAAGTTAAACTGCTATGTTAGAGTAGAACTACAGAAAGCAGATTTCCAAAGTCCTTTCTCTCAATCATGCAAAACCACACTTAAAATTCACCACTGTCACATGGAATACAGATTGTAAGTGATGTCAGCCTAACACACAGGCAAGTGGAAGCCAATTTGTGAAATGAAAATCACATCCACACACTAAATTTGAAGGCTGGGGTGGGCTCCATAGACTGAAAGAACTGGTAACTGCTGAGAAGTCCACACACTAGGCCATTAGAATGAGCAGCACAAAGCTTCTGTGTTTGTGCCTTCCAGTTTAAGAGGCCTCAAATTAGAAGTGCAGTTCCTCAGGAAACTCATACTTCACCCTTGAATCCAGCTGTTTGCCAAAGAGGAAAATCACAGAATAGTTATGGTTGGAAAGGACCTTAAGATCATCCAGTTCCAACCCGCCTGCCATGGGCAGGGACACCTCACACTAAACCATGCCACCTAAGGCTTCATCCAACCTGGCCTGATAAGACTCCATTATGGAAGATACTCAAATGTCTGCATAGCACAAAAAACTGGATATAATGATGTTTATATGCAACAATGCTGAAGAGACAGTGGAGATCAGAAATCAGAACCTCAGCTTTGAGTTTCTCATATAATTAGGAACTCAATCCTACTGTAGTATCAATCAAGCCTGAAATAAATGTAAATACGATTTGCTAAACATTTTACCTGTGTAGCTTCTGGTTGCACAGGAACTTGATTAGGCTGGGCAAGTCTTGACTCGGCATGAACTGAAGTAAAATAAGTTTACTTACTACATAGCACAATCAAACCTTTCACAGAACAGCACTGCCATCTTTTCTAATTCAGTTATTTGAGAGCTGATCATCATAAAAATGATTATCTCCTAGCATGGCCAAGCTATCCTTAAAATTCCAATTACAATTTCCATGCAAAGTTATTTCCAATTACCCAAACCCATCCAACATCTCCAAAAGATTACACAAAACTCTTATTTCGCCCATTTAAAAAATATTGAAGATGTTCCACCTTCCCAAGCAAAACCTAGAAGCAAGTGAAAATCAGAAGCCTACAGTGTTCTTTAAAAGTACAATCACATTTCTGATAAATAATAATACAGCACTCTGAAAGTGTATTTTTACTGAGGACCCTTCTACTATGTAGTAGCAACTGAAGCATTTCTAATAGGTGACCTGCAGGCTTCCCCAGTATTTATGTTTAGGATTTACCATTACAAACCTGGAGGGCAAACCATTTGTGGCATGTCCAAATTCTGTGCTGGATTCATGGGCTGTGCAGACACAATAGCAGGATCAAGTGTTTGGTTCTCAAACTCCAGCATAGAGTCCTAGGGAAAAACATAAAATCAAATCTAATCCAATTTATTGTATTTCAGAAATATTCAGAACACAGAAATGGCCAGGTCCCAGTAAAGAGGTTTATTTCACAGTTAAACAATTGCTGGGTTAACCATTTTAATCAAGATATTAAGCCCTTCAAAAACATATTTATTACATTGAAAATTCAGTTAATTTATACATTAACTGAGAAAAAGATAGCTGGAGGGAGATTTTAATGGCCAGACAGAATAGGTGGCAAACTGTTCTTTATTCTTTATCCCAAATTACCCCTTTGTAGGAAGAAACAAAAGGAACAGAAGAAGTGGATGCCTCATTTGTTACTAAGATGTCTGCTCTTTTTGTGAAGGAGAGGCTTTTTCAGATACAACCATTATCTTCCAATGTTTTCCTAGCTGTTCTAGCGTTTTGGAGGGAGCCTTCAAGAAGCAACCCAAAAACTACTGTCTTTACATGTAAAGTTTTTCATAACACAAAATTTACAACTACAATAGAGAAGGGATCTTTTACAGCTGGTCTCACTTCAGCACAATACACAATGGCTCCCAGTGATGCACAGCTTTCTGCCTCCTCTGTAGACTTAACACAGACAAGGACCAAATAGCTAAATAACCTTCTAGTTGTACTTTGACAGCAGTACAGATGTGCAGGCTTTGGATGAGATCTTGCCATACAGCACTAACACTGTCTGCAAGACCACTGTATCTTTCAAATGAACTACAGGAGACTCTTTAAATCATGCCTAACAGCCAGGAAGTGCTGTTTTCTTTCTTTGGTTCCAACTTCACAGTAGGGTGGGTTCATCATACCTGCATGAAGTTATACGGGCCCTGCATCTGCGCCATAAGGTCCTGTACTCGCTGTCTTCTAACAAGAGGATCTGCTTGAGCCACAGTAGTGAGCGTGTGAGGTTCAGGAACTGGAGGAGATGTAGCTTGTGTCTGTTGCTGCAGCGAATTTACAACCTAACAAGAAAAAAGCAAGCAACTGCAATTTCAGCTTAAGGGAACATTGCACAGAAGTGACTCAGTAGGTCTTGAAATTTATGGCTATTGCCTAATTCGTTATGGATGTAATTACTATAGTGTTCTTGAAGAAAAATACTACATCCTCCTACAGTCATGCCAATACTGGTGGCCAGCTACTGGTCTGAGCACTTAATAGGATTAGAAAGTCCAGACTGTGCTCTATTTTCTTTCCATCTACTCTATTCCCCATTAAGAACAGTGCTAACAAAAAATTGTTCAATATTATGGGGGTTTCTTTTAGAGCAGGTTTTCAGACAGCAATTATCACCATTTGGATATTTAAAGTCGGGGAAGATTAAGTTTCAGATATATGCACAGGTGGAGAACAATTATTGTCTCCTACATCTTTGGTAAATGTAAGTACAGTCAGAATTTTTTGATCTTTTAAAGACTTCAAACTTTAAGTTTTCACAGCCACCTCTAGGCCACATTCTCAAATGTCATTCTAGCTAGCTGATTTATGCTCTCAGAGAACAGCAGGCAGCATTGCATGATAGAAAGATTGCAAGACAGCACCGTGGGGGGACACCAGAAGCCCAGAAGCAGAAGCAAAACTCATAGTGAGCAGGAAAGCTCAGATTTACTGGCTGTATTCCAATACGGCGCACAAACAAAGGTACAACGAAGAGCAACATGCTTTCAAATACCACCTTATCAAAGACAGCAGAGCAACCAGGAAAGCTGAACATGAGCATCTAAAAACATCCATCATCAAACAGCTTGCAAACAGATAGTTACAAAGACAGCTGAGCTGCTCAAAGTTGCGTTTTAATGTTCCTAATAAGTTTTGCTCTCTAGGCAACTCCCGTTACATGAAGAACAGTTTTCAGTTTGCATTCATGTCAACAACTGTCCTTTAAAAAGATAATTGTCAATAACTTATCTATCACTTTTGCACTCCCATGAGCTTTTAATTATTAATCATCTTCCAGATAAACAGGCAAGCCTTAAACTTACAATTGCACAAGATACAAATGAGCATAAATGCACCTGAAGTTCCAAATACTTCTGTAAAAGATCTGGTTTCTAATTAGAACACCACCTCACAAGCTCCAATGACTCTTTCTTTAACCAAATCCCTACCCATCTGTAATAGAAAATTAAGAAGCAATAAAAAATAACTAAACTAAAACACAGCCACAACGTACATTCCTCTTTAAGATCCCCTTCAGATCCATATCTCCAGTATGAGCCATGCAAAGAGAAGCAGTTTGACAATTCCCATGGATGTACATCCTAAGGCTTTCCACACTGGAAAACAAGCACAACTGCCCTGCTGTATTACAGTCCCCAAACTTCAAATGATGGACTGCTTTCAAACTAGGAACTAAGCCCTGTAAGTGGATTTTTCTTCCCCCTGACAATGTTACTTAGAGCACACATCTACACCTCTTGCACATTACAAAGTCCAATAATGAAAGTAAAGCAACAATGCAAGCCAGGTGACTGGGTGAAACTTGAAAGGTCAAACCAGCAGCTACTCATCTCCAACAACATTATTGCCAAAACCATTCTCTATTTAAGCACCATCATTCAACTTACGAAGCCCAAGTCATTTGTAAGAATTCAGTACCTGGAATAACCAAGAAAACAGAACAGGGATAAAAAAATCTAATATTTTCCTTTTTCACCAATAGTACTGTACTAACTTCACATGGTGCTTGATGTATTACATTTTCTTTTGAAAACATCTTTTTTTTAATGGCAAAAGGAACTGTTTAGGGCCTATTCCTTTAGTCTTATTACCACTACCAGGTACTTTGACTTATTATAATCATAGTAGGATGAAACTACTACAAAAATTTCAAGTTTTACATATTAAGTAGCCAATGGACAGGCTGTAGTTCTAAAGTTACCAGCTTTCTAACTGTCTGCTACATGAAAATGGTGCAGAGACAACTCAAATGTAAGGATCCTTATTCAAAATGCAAATTATTACCCAACCATACATCTCCATTCATCTCAGAGCCACAGCAGCAAGGTGAAACTTTTGAGAGCTGAACCTCTGCAGAACATATTTGACTCATCAAATTGCATGCTCACCTCTTGACACCCTGCCCCTTGACATTCTCAAGGCAGAGCTGCCCAGACGCAATCAGAAGAGAATAACAGGGTATAAAGAAGGCCAGGGGGCAAAGAAAAAGGAAAAATAAACCCAGAAGTTTAATGAGACCACAAACCAACCAGAATGAATTTTTATTCTGGCAGTCCCAGAACAGTTTCCAATTCCACACAAAGCACACACGTCCATCCAACCAAGGTTCCATAACCTAAGACAGACAGAACTTTGTATTCAAGCAGATTCAGGTACATCTTACAAAAGAAACAGTTAAAAAACAATAGAAATCAATCAAACAGAAAAGCTAACAACAAAAATCTCCACAACCAAACCCCTGCTGTTACCAATAAAGGGCATCTTCACCAAAACTAAAACATGATATAATCCAACTGCAAATATGCTCAGAAAAAGTCACAAGCAAATTCCTTCATGTAAAACTTCAGGAAGGCCCATACAGAAATGTCATTGTGAGACACCATCACTTCTTAACCTACAAACAAAGCATATCCCAGCAATCTTGAATGCATTACATCCACTCATGGGTTACTGAAAGACAAGTCTGTGATAGCCTTCCCCCTTTCACAAACAGTTATGGAAGTCTTCTGCTTAAATGTTCTCTTTCAGCTTCCAAAATTAACAGCTATCGTTCCCAGCTCTTATTATACTGACACCACAACCACCTCAAGCTGACAAAGGCTCTATACAATGTATATCATCATCTTCCCTAAGGACAATTCAGCTGCATTCCCATGAGAAATGGGATTTTGCTGGCAGTAAGAACAGCAAGAGTAATTTCAAAGACACTCTCAATTTCCCCTTTTTGTGTTAAATCTCAGAAAATAGGGTTCTTAATTACGAAGAAGCAATCTCTAACTCCAAATTGCTCATTTATACATAGTCCAACAAATCTGGACAGGAAGGACAACTGAAGTGTATATTCTTTTGTATTATATTGTTCTACGAAAACAAAGCCAATATAATCTAGATTTAGCTGACTAGTAAAGACGTGTGGAAAACTGCAAGTTTCTGAGATCAATCTGACACAAAACTAAAACCTGAATTCTTTGACCACACCAACACGGTTAACACGTATTATTATTATTCCCATTAGGAAGGGTCTGAGTTTTCAGTTGTGCAATATACAGCCTTGCAGTTTAAGAGCAGAGGGAAGCACAACAGGCTTTGAGCATTAGGATGTGTTCTATACTCTTAATCTCTTCATCCGTGCTACTCATATGAAGAACTACAGAGAACCAAACGTCCAAGATACTCTGGGCACTTGGTAAAAACACAGACGTAATTTGGGTGTAAGTCAAGACAGACTGAAGCCAATCTTCAGTTTTTAAAGAGATTTCTTAAATCGCATTCAATAGCAGTGTTACTTTAGGGGTTTTGAAGTAAGGAAATGGAATACTATGACAAGGTACTATCAAAATCAATCATTTGCATCCATAGCAAAGTTCTAGAAGCCTCACACCCATCCTAAGTGCTACTACATCTCTTAATGGTCTTCGACACCATCAGATACGAATTTCAGCCAGACTGACTGTAAAATCAGACAAGCAGATAATCAGATCAAAATGACTGCTCTCTTTTCCACCACCTGAAGATATGACAAACACTTCACACATGAATGAGCCTGAAGACACAACAGAACAGTTAAAAAAACTGACCATCTCTAATTTGCTGCTGCAGAGACTAAACTGAATCAAAACTTCAGTCTCCAGCACCTGAAAGATGCTGCTCATACCTATTCCTACCAGACAGATACAACTCAAGTTCCAACACACCAAACATTTGAATGACTCCATGTGACTTGTCCTTTCCAGCACATGAAGAACATGAATTTAAGTATAGTAAGATGATGGACTTGTACATGTAGTTAAGTCTACAGTCTAAATTACTAAACCGGGAATGGATCCCAATAGCAACACACCACAAACATCACAAGCGAACAATCACTCAACCACAAAGGAGCAGCAAGTTAAATACTTGAAGAAACATAGTTCCTGAAAGCAGGGATGTACATACAAGCATATTTTAACATCAAATTATGTGCATAGGCAATCCAGAGTAGGTATTAGTTGAGATACTAATTTTCAGCTCTCTCTCCATGGAACTGCTCAATGAAACAGACAACTATGCCATGCTGTCAGCAGCTTTGTAGATAAACTTAAGTTCCACATTTGCAGCAAAGTTACCTTAAAAAAAGTCTAAAAACCACAAATCTTCAGTCTTTTTAAGCCTATGACTTTCACGTTCCATTCTGCAAGCAAGCGGCTACTGAACAAAAGCAAGCTCTCTGCAAACTTAGCCAAACTGGGTACTCCTGAGCTAAATATGTAATTGAAGGGTGAGTAGTGAGTCGAAGCCTACTTAAATGTATGTATTTTTACAGATACTGGGGAAGAAAGAGTGCAATACTAAAACCTATCATGAATTGTGAGTCAGCGGAAACAGGGATTGCAATTTTACCTGCAGTACACAAGATCTTACCTCAACCGTTTCAACTGTCCACTCATCTACCTGTTCCTTCTCACTACTGCTGAACTGAGCCTCTGCCATGAATTGTCTGTTTACATACTAAAATAAAAATAAGAAAGGGTATGAAAGTAAAAGTAAGTGGCATTAAAGCTATACAAAATGACAGTCTTTCCAGTGAGTAATACCTCAGTTGATTCCACTTCAGTTGGTTCAGTAAATTCTTCCGCCGGATCAGGTTCTGCAAGAAAAATGTACCATTTAGGTGAAAAACACCCACGCTGCAGACAGAGAAGATGCAAAATGATGAAAAGATCTTTCCCACTAAAAGTGGAATTTTGAAGAAGTCTGATGCTTTTTTGTAGTAGTCATTTATCAAAAAACATGTACTTTAAAGAACTGTTCTGGACTATCAGCACACAGAAAGTGCAGTTAGGCAGAAGAATGAACAGACACACATCTACTCCTGAGTGATAGTAATAGCTAGTGTTAGAAGCTCACTGTATATTAAGGAATGAGTCCCTTTATTACACATCTTCAAGGGGATAGGATGTTGATTACAGATCTGAAATTAGAGCCTCAATATTGAGTCAATACTTGACTTGCAGTTAAGTATCTGCTGGGTTCAGAAGCAAACCTAATGCTACAAAGTACATAAAAACTTTTGTCTCAGAATGAAGAAAGCAAAAATACCAAGACATGAACAGAGAATCACCAAAGCAAAGATTCTCAGATGTCTGAATTAAACAGGAAAAAAAGCCTCTTTAAATTCTTGCTATGAAGAGTTATGTTCAGCTATCCTGAATTTCAGTTCTCTCCACAACATATTCAAAAAGGAGAAAAGGTCATGAATGTTCTTCTTAAGCTTGGTACCATATTCTAGAGTTTAAGCATGTCAGCATCCTGTTTGCTCCAAAACCTCTTCCCTCCTAACAAAAGATTAAACTGGTATGAACCACCAAAAAATAGAAAAGACTCAGGCAATCAGAACTTTAATGTTTTATCATTTTAATAGCAAGGATGAAAAAAAAATGGTTTATAAATCACACTGATAAAACTCTACAGAAAAACAGAAAAGAGTTGCTGGCAATATTTTCATTTGCAGAAACCTGCTTCTAAGTAATTTCCCTGTTAGCCTGAGTTCTTATTTCAGCAAATGACGTATTGCAGTCAAATGCTGAAATAAGTATTCAAAAGCAAGTACTAAGTGACTCTGCTCCCTCAGCCAGCTGACGCTCTGCAGTTAGAACGCTCAGCCCTTCCTTGCACATGACGGAAGACATTTACGATGTGATCATTAGGAAGGATTAGCCCCTCCAAAGTAGCAGCTGGCAGGAGTAGCCTTACAGAACCCTTCTGGAACACAGCTCTGCTTTTCTCTCCTCATGGCTCAAGAGCAGGGCTGAGTAACTGGCTGTCTGTCCCTATAGATGTTGCCTGGCCAGATATACCTGATCATCAAAAAATGACATTTCTATCCAAAACACAAAGAATTCAGAGACAGGTGAATTTTGTGCTTAAAACTGCACTTGTAATTTAATCATTCTGGAGAATCCAAAGAGACAAGACAGTACAACACAAATAGAGTAGTCACAAAGCATCTTCAAATCCTACCAGCTTCTGCTACAGCGTCTTCTACTGCAGGTGCAGGGGTTGCCTCTTCTTCCTCACACAATCCATTCTGATGGTTATGGGTGCTGTCGAAGTAACTAGTTTGAAGAATACGTTCAACAATCTCCTTCAGAGCTTTATCTACGGAAACAGAAGTTAAATGTTAACAGTAACTTAATACTAAACATCTTTTCCTTCCTTCCCAAAGATCCCATGTAAATTACCAACAAATTTACTGTAAGCCAATTCCTTACAGAACAACTGCCAGTACAAACAACTAATTTTACACAGGTACCACCTTCATGAAGGTTCTTGCCCTGAGGTGTAGTGGCTCAGAGCAGCCTTTGTAAGCAGAACAGGCACAAGCTTGCACTCAGTGCCTCATATGAATGCTGTGGTGTCTTACCCAAAACAGATCAGCCACACTGGCAAGGCAGCATTACTGACTGCGCAGGCCAACAGAAACCAAAACAGACTCAAAATGGAAAATTCACAAAGCATGTCTGGCAAGTGATAATCACTGTATGAGTCAATGCATACACAGAGAACAGCACAGAAACACATTAACATTCATCCCTATAAGAAGGTGATTATCACTAAAAGCTCATCCTGAGATCCAGACACAATACCCAACCCAGCTCCATCCAGTAAGAGAATGACTCAGTCTCCAATGAGCATCCGTCCCTCCTGAAATCCAGCTCTGTACCTTCTGCTTCAGCCACCTCTTGAAGTAAGTATGTGGTGCATACCTTTGGGCTCTCAAAGATCTAACACCACAACCACTTCAGACTTGAGTTAGTAAAAAAATGCTAACCTTGTACCTCCTGGAAAGATTTCATTTCAACAATATAAATAATTTGAAGTTCTGCCACAAAAAAGGGGAAAATCTTATTAAGGACACAGTATTGTTCTCTCCTTGTATCACTTCTCAGTAAAGCAGGTTAGGTAACAACTGCAATACTATCATTTAACTTCCTATAAATAGAACACAAAAACCTCTTTCCATGGCTCAATATTACTCTAACGTTATAAGGGTAATTGATTCCTTTAAAAGGGGGCAATGTTGTTGGCCATTTTACCCACAAAACAGGATTATCTTCCCTACAACTTTCTTACTGATTTCCAATTAAGAGATTTCAAAAATTCCCCATGACACAAGAAACAGACAACTGCCAAGCACAGCCATTTTTCTTAGTCTAATGTCAAAAGCTATGTATTAATGAAAACTTACATTTCTGCAAGAAAACAGTAAAGAAATTCCATCTGCGTGATCAGACCCTGATTTTTAGAGTTAGCCAAAATAGGGCAAAACCAGAATGCTTTTTCCAGGAGAGAAAAGAGAGCAAAACATCACACTAAAAAAGGCCATGTCAGATTACGTATTTGGTCACATTATTGACAAAGCTCCTTGTTTACACACAGGTTTCCAGAAAACAAAGAACTGCCACTCAGCACCACCAGCAGCAGAATACTGCTGAAATAGCAGGAACAGCTTAAATAGAGTAATGCATCAGTAAAACAAAACACACTACACACTAAGTTCACACTTCAGTAAGTTATTTTGTTACAGTCCATCTAAGGTCTGAATAAAGTAGTTATTTCAACTGCCAAAGCTCTCTCAGATCAGACATTGTATTTGTAAGTCCAGGCAGAAATTTAGTGCACACAGACTTATACTTACAGGTTGTTCCACAAACTGGTTTCTCCTTCCCTTCCAGTAAGTCCCAGAGGTGAACAGATGCTTGCTCATACTGCTCATTCAACCTTAAAAAAATAATTGAGAGTTAATTTCTTACCAAGTCTTTAAATTACCACAGTACAAACACATTGTTACTTGTAACTCACTATTATAAAGGAAAGTACTTTACACTAAGCCTACCTCATGCTCATGTCTCGCTCAGGGTAAACTAGCTTATAGAACTCATCCAGCATGGTCAGTTCCTCCTCTGTCAGCACTGGTACCCCATTTGAACCTTGTTTCAAGTCGTTGCGCACTTCATCATCACCCAACTTGTCCAAAATGAACTGGAGCTCTAGTACAGTCTTTAAACGCTTCTGCTCAGCTTCTTCTCGCATCAGCTGCTCCCTGCGAGCTGTCTTCTTTATTGTTTTCTGGATCTGGTTAAAATGGAAATATTCAATTGCTTAAATTTGGATTCTGCAGTGAACTCAGGGGAAAAAACAGATTTGAAATGTCTTTTAGTGGTAAAGAGGTGGATTTGGTGTTGAACTGCTACTTATCAATCTAACGCTACAGCAGAATAAGCTGTGAAATTTGAGCATTTTTAAGCAGAATCAAAAGCCTGCAAATTGAGACTAACTTTAAAATCAATGCCACAAACCTTGGATCATATTGGACCCTGATCATATTCTACTTAAGTCTGTACTTCTCTGCGTGACTTACAAGTAGTTCAGTCAAATAACTGCAGTTACCACGTCTTAACGCCTTTGACACCAATGTGTTACCTGAAACAAGCCCAGCTTGCTATTACTGCTTCCTTTATGAATTATTCTGTAAACACCAAGTGATTTTGATCTAGATCTGAGCAGCAAAAATGTACAAAATCAAGTACCTTTTAAACAAATAATGTGGCTATTCACAGCTTCTGCCTTCCATAACTCAAGGAGGACCTACAGCAAGTAGAATAGGTGCAGAAAAGGGCAACAGAACTTACTAAGGGGACAGAGCGGGGCCCTGATAAGAACAGTCTAAGTCTTGGGCTCTTCAATTTGGAAGAGTGATCCAAGGTTTTTCATCAAGGCCATATAAAGGCCAGCAGATAACACAAAGAAAGCTGTTATTCACCATATCCCATGATGGAGGAGACATTCATTCGAACTGCTAGAAGATCAGCTTAAAACAGATCAACAAAAGTACTCACTTCTTACACACCACGGGAGGGAAGCCTGGAATGTTTTGCCATGAAAGGCTGGGGAGACAGCATCAGCAAGTTCAAAGAGGATTTAAACAGATGCTTGGACATAAGGTCCACAGACAGACACTAACAGGAACATGAATGTATCTACTCTAACATTCTCAGTTTGAGGATGACGGATGCTGGAAGAGAATGGATGAAGGATTACCATCAGCCTTGCGCTGTGCATAGTACCTTCTACAACTGCTGTCACAGCGCTGGTCTAAATGCATCACTAGTCTGAACCTACAGGATGTTTCTTCCATTCTCATTATTAATCCAAGCACCCAGAGTCCAAAATTCCACTTGCTCCCTTTGTAACTATACAAAACTTCCACCTTTGCTTTCAAAAACTGCAACTTATGACAGTAACTTTCTCCCTCTGAAACATCTAAACTTCCTCTTTAAAATCAAAGACTTATCTTAAAGTCAACTGCATGAAAACTAACTTCAATCAGGAAAAAGTGCCACCAAATGTGAAAGCAGAGCCCCTATTTATTACTCCTGGATTCACTTGCTTCTTCTAGCAGTCAGCTGACCAGGGAAATACGTCAGGACAAACCTGTCAGAAGAAGAAAGTTCTTCATTGCTAACATTCCATAAACATACATGAAACCCTGATGCAAGAAAAGCAAAGCAGCAGCTTGCCTTAGAGGCCTGCACATTTACAACTACATCAGATGTAGAAAGCAGTTCATAATGTGAGGATGCTGGTTCCCTCTAAGTTATCCCAGTCTGTCCCCAAACTAAATACACTTGCTAGATCAGTCTGCTGCACTAACATCAATGACACAACAAATCCTAACAGCACTGCTGCTCCTTCCATAACTCATTAACTCCAACTACACTACTGCATTTAGAATCTTCCAGTCCTGTGGAATTACACTTTCACCTGCTTCAGTTCTTCCTTGCAATGATACTGCAGAGGTCTAAAATGGCTTTTTGTTTGCAGTTCTTGGCACAAAAAAAAAACAAAGCAAAGCTGTTCATATAACTGGAATTGCCCATTAGAGTTTTAGAACTTATTCCTGATGACAGTGTAATCCTCAACCACTTGCCAAAGAAAGAAGCAGGCTTGTGAAATCGATTAAAGAAAATGTTACTATTGGCAGGAAATGGCTGTCTCTAATGTTGTATGGCCTATTTTGTGATCACCCTGCTTTCAACAGTTATGTTTTGTCAGAAAATGAACGCACTATTTCTGTTCCTATACATTTATGTAGTCCATCAGGAGAATCTTTTAGAAATAGTCTTGAGTAAACCTCACACTAACTAGTACATAGAGTAAACCAGCCACACAAGAAATTGCAAGCATTCCACCCCTGTCAGTAGAGGCAACTATTGCATCTAGTGTCAGTGAAATCGTTTAAAACCTAAGTGTCTGGATAGCTCATGGTGCACCACTTGCTCTTTACTTACATCTTGGCTCAGAGCCATAAAACTCCTCTGCAGTTCTTTAGCAAATTCCAGATTATTTGTCACTTCCTGGTATTTTGACACCGCATCCTTAACAGAAACAAGAAAACACAAAAGTAAACCATCACAAATAAAAATACATACTTCCAACAAACAAATCACCACATTTTCAGTTCCTCAGTGAGACACAGCTCCCTGAATGAGACTGCAATGATGTTAAGTCAAACACTGATTTTCACTGGCAGAAATATTAAGATTTGTGGTTATCTTTAGGGCCTCTGGTTTCCTAGATAAATAAGCTAAAGCATACACTTATATATGCTTGTGCCCATGACATGCTGTTTGGCTTTAGCCAGTTTCTGACAAAAACTAACTGGCAGGCCAGGAGAATGGCGGAGAAGAGTAATCTGGCCGCTCAAAACTGCTCAAGAGAGTAAAGGTTTGAGAATTAATGCATTGTTATCTTGAGTCAGAGCCAAAAAAATCAAACCATATACAGAGCATCATGCTCCCTCCTCTAGAAAATCTTCATTATTTGCCATTTTCTTAAATCTAATACTCTGATTTGCACCCAAACAACCCAAGCTCCTTAACCCACTTTGCAGTATGAGAAATTAGAGACTCAAATTAGCTGGGGGGGGTGGGTGGGAGAACCCAGCAAAGACATTTACACTCCTGCTGTGACTAGGTTAATAATGGGTATGTTTCTTGGTAGAACATTATCCAGTAACATCTGAGTGGAAGAAAAGGTTAAGGTCCTAATTTCTTTGAAAAGCAAGGAGCATGAACTGGTTTTGGGGATTTCCATTTGTAATACAGCTAAGAAACTTATATTATACATTACACATACACATCAGGTGATGTACAAAACTCATCATTCTTAGCCAATTTGTAGAAGCAGAAGATGAGTGGTATTTCAGCATAGTTGGCACAGAAGAACCAAAGTGAAGCCCAGACAGATGAAGGCATCACATGGACCAAGGGAAGCAGCTAATTCTTTAACTGCCAACAGCTGCAATAGTTGCAGAGTACATTTATATCTTTCCTTCATTTTTTTCACTGTTAAAAATCATCAACAAAACACTGCTGATTACTGAGCATCTGGCAATCTCTTTAAGTACCAATATGCATGTTTGTATCACACAACTGAATTTAATTTGCTACTCGCTTCATATTTACTACAACTGGAAAACTGCTTTTGAGACAAGCCCTACAACTTCCTAAGAAACCAGCATACATCCACCAAGTCCATCTTATCTAGAGGTGCACATCTGCTACACTGACAGCTGTGATATACACATGGACGTAGCTTATGTTCAGAGCCCCTGGTGTAAGCTCCATCTCTAACCAGACCGCGCAGTATTTACAAGCTACCACTAAGTGACTAAGCTCCTTAAGTTCTCCCTGGGCACACTTTCTGTGAAGAAAAGGATGATGTCCAAAGAACCTCAAAGGTATCATTTAGTTCTTTCAACAGTCCTAGGCTGTTCACCACAGCTTATTCACAAGCTAACCTCAACAAGCATAAAGCATTAAAACAGGCTCCTCAACCTAATCTTTCAGTTGTGATTAACAGAAAACATAGGCAATAAAAAACTGAAGGCAAGTCAGAACTCTGAAAAATGCAGCTTTTAACAAGGGGAAAGGGGAAATGAAATTCATCCCTTCCTTCCCTGCCAAGATCATAAGACAATTTAACAGAGATCTGGTTAGTCTTTTTGCTTTTTACCAGTTGATCTTGATTCAGACGTTCTCCCTTGTTCATTCGTTCTTGGTAATCATCAAGTTTGCTCTGAAAAGAAAGAAAAATGCTATTATGAAGAGCCAAAATCAAGTTATTGCTTTTTTTCTACTTCTGCTAACGGAATTAGGTAGTGTAATACTACAGTGGGCACAGACTGTAACACATTACACAAGCATGGAACTGCCACGTAGAAATACAGAAAAACTGTCTTCTGGGTTAAGAGACAAATCTTTTAACCTTGTTTTTTGGCTAGCACAATACATCTTCACAACCAGTCTCAGTTTCTGAGGAAATACGCAATCTTCCTAACAGGGAAAGCACTCTCCATACACACTTCCTTCAGTCCAAACAAGAGAGCTGAACACAGTTGAGTCACAGCCCATTACCACTGTACCACTACAATACCAAAAACATGACTGCAGAAAAAACAGTCAATGCTATTAAGATTCAGAACTCTTTGTAATTGCATCAGTTAAGGCAGTTTTAAAAGCATTTAGAAGTTTCTAATCCTTTGTGCAAGAATGCTCACCAACACAATTCATATTAATAGCTCTAAAATACTTTTGTTCAAGAGCATTAAGATTTCCTTCTCATGGGGAGAAACTGAAACAGGACTCATTAGGTTAATTTGCAGCAGGATCAGCGCTCTCATCTGTCTAAACACAAAACCATGCAAAACACGGACATCAGCCAAAAGCAGGTAAAACTTATGAATGCCCCAGTGACAAGGATTCTACAGGCTAAGTAGAAAGGTTCGTTTAAGAGAAGCCAAGTCCATCAGAATACCATACCCAGCTATTAAGCTCTATGTTTTCACCATTTCTGCATTATCACACAATCGTATTTTGTATGAAATCTGCCTTGAGCTTATTAAAAGGAAGCTATTAAATGAATCCTCAATTATCTTCCCTATCTAGCATAACAACAACATGAAAAGGAAAGCAATCAGAAACACTTCATTTTGAAAGGGAAAATTACAGTCCCCATACAACCACAATTTTGAGTTTCCATTTGCCACCAAGTGACAGATATCTTGTTGTTGGTCTTTGCGTTTTTTTTTACCATAAAGCTCCTCTTATGAAGCACTGGATGCAGAGCATCACTTACTGAAACATAAAACCACCCTTATGAGACTTGGTCCTTTTGATGCCACCTAGCACCAACAGGAAATTCTACAGATTAGACACAGCACAACCACTTCATCTTTCAGTGCATCAGAGCCAGGAATGGCCTAAGCAAAGTCAAAGAAGTTCCTGAGCTCCGAAATAGCATCACTAGGAATTCTATACTGGGGACAGACACTAGCAGGGTAACAGCTTTCAAACATGGCAGCCACAGTTCCTAATAGATCATAAAAATAGCCCTGAAGAGGATCCAACATATTGGAAATCTACCACAAGCATGAAATAAGGTCATTTTACTCTTCTACATACTCACTTTACAACAAATAAAGACACAGCTGGGCAGTCACAGGAGTAGTTTTCATGATTTAAGAGACTGTAGCTGAGCTGTGAAGTTAAAAGGGAGGGTAAAGAGCTCTAGCACTGCAACACCCCAGTGCAAGGCCAGCCAGGTTAATCAACGCCTCCACTGCTTAAGGTAGCTTAAATCCTACAATGAACTGGCTTCGCAAAAAGTTCCTCCTTGCTCAAGTCACTTACTCCCATGCTGTGGATTACAATTCCCTTGGTCACACTGATGCAATTGTTTGTGAAGCTGCACAGTTAATAGACTGCTAATACCAGCCAGTTGAACAGCACCTACAAAAATGTATTAAAAAAGCCCTACCAATTTCTGTGATCCAATTTCCACATAAACCCATAAACAACAGTAAACCAAACATGATGGAACACCAAATTCTAGAATACTATTTAGGTCAACTTGGCTGAAAAAAACACATATTGCAAAATTACACTGCAAAACACTCATAACCCATTTCAGTGGCTAAGGGCTTAAGGGAGGGAAGAGACAGAAATACCCCAAATAACTCTGTTTCTGCATGTTTTCCATGCAGCCTTACTTCAGCATGGTTGGTATCTTCAGATTAAGCATACTGTGTTAACAATATGCTTAATTCAAACAGTGCATAAGTTTTCTCTTAACTAATCAAATAGTCTTAGGTCTACTGTAAATATGTTGCTCACTTTTATTCAGCAAAAAGAAAGAGTAATACGTCTATTTCTAACCATTAGGCATAGAAGGAAAGTTACTTCTAGTAACTTTTTCTTCCTTAAAAACATTCATATCAGAAAGGTGAAAGCAGAAGAAGGAAAGCCCTTTCAGCTGCAATGCGGAGGACAAGAGAATGTGTATTTAGCTATAGGTTACCACAAATCTTTCAAAGAAAGCAGTTTTCTATCATCCCAAACACACTATAAGGTCTGAAAGCTGCATTACACGCAAATATTAAGGAAACCAAATGCTTTCTTTTTAATCTGTACTGTCAACTAACGGCAATCTAAGAGCAGCACCACTGCTCTAAAGCAACTGCAGCAAAATTCCTGCTTAGCAACCTACTGCAGCGTCTGCAAGAAGTAAAGACTTTCCCAATTTTACCCCCCTTACACAGTTCCATCCTCACTCATCATGGATATAGATCTTGAGGCGTAAAAGCTAAACCAGCAGAAAAGAAATATAAAAATCAAGTGGCAAAGTGAGCACATAAATTGTCTATTAAAGTGCTCATGAGTCAGCAGCCCCCAGTTCTGCAGACAGCAAGTCACTGTGCTCCAGCTCTTTTCTCACTGACATACCTGAAGTATTCTGGACTTCCCTAGGAGAACAGTACACATGTTGTTGAGGCTACCTGGACGCAGAGGCAGGAGGAAGGTGGTCGTGTTCTTTAAGTATGCCCTAGACTTTATTTCTATAGGAATACAAAACTGAGTTACTTTATTATGCTAACAGATACCTTCCTCTCACACTCAATTTTCATTATGTGCTCTCAAGTGCCTCAAAAATGTCATCCTCAAGTAAGGGGGGAAAAAATGTAGTTACATGACGTTAGCTTCAAAAGCAATACTGGGTTTAAAAATGCCTGACCACTCAGTTGTGCTGTTACAGTCATTTCCAGTGCTACGCTATAAACTGGATCACTGGAATGATCTGATTAAAAATAACCCTTAAAAAAGGGGGCCAGGAGCAGGAGGGAGGCACTATATTTAACCAGATAATGCCAATGGTGTGGTTTATACCAGTGACAGTGGCACAAGTATATGCAACAAGCTGCAAGGTGGAAAGTAAACTCCCCAACCAGCTGAAGTAAGTGTTTTGTAATGCACACTTCACTACAAGCAAAAGACAGAGGGGACCACTGCAAGTCTGAGGTATCTCAAAAACTGCATGTATTTTAAACAGCATCAAGCAATTAAAATAACCCAGAACTTAAAATAGCTGCCTAATACACTGAAGCAAAACGAAGGCCAATCTATGATACAGAAGTTTGTTAACGTGGTTTATGTTCGTGCATTTTATCTGCCCTCCACCACCATCTCCACAGTTATTCATCAGTTTACCTCCCCAGCAATCTGGCCAGAAATGACCATTTCTCAGAAAATGACTATTTCCTCAGAAAAATAGGCAGAAAAAAGAATCAAAAAGGTGAAAACACACAAACTGTATCAGTTTAACATGTTGAAGTTCAGAACCTCCCAAACCCCACCACAGTTCCCCTCTGGGTGCATTTCCTGCTATACACACACCTAACAAGTCCCAAGAAACCGTTTCAGTCCCGAGTTACAAGCAAAAGGATGTAATGAAGTATTTAGCATCAATATTCTGGAACACAAAGCACGTGGAGGTCTTCTATTCAAACTGAATTTATTTTCAAAGTAACAGTTATAAATATTGCTGTGGGGTTTCCCCAAAGCCTGGTAAGTTTGAGGATTTAGAAGTATCTCCATGCTGTATTGGGAGCAGGACCCATTCCCTCCCAAACAAATAGAGAAGAACTTATGGATTCCTGCAATCTCCAAAATGTAAAGCTTTTAAACTCCAATGAGTTGACTACAGATAAAAACAACTCTGCTTCTTCAGTAACCAGAACTAAGTTAAGACACAGATGAGTGAAACTCCTTAAAGTTCTGATGGCTTCATATACGTGTGTTCTCTTTCCAAATCACCACACACTATTTCCTATAGAAACACTATGGACCTGCAGGTTGACTACGCTGCAAGAGACTTAAATCTTGTTCTACACGTAATTTATGTTCAAAAGCATTTACTTTTCCAGCAGTGAGTTCTAGGAACAAACCAGTCCCCAAGAACACAAAGTGAGCTCTCCCAACACATTCTGCGCATCTTTTTGGGCTGAAAGAGAAGTGTTAACAAAGTATCAAAGCAGAAACCATAAACCTGCGTGGTTTTTAGATGAAGCAGCCTGGTTATCCAAACCAGCTATCACAGAGGTTTCAAAGTAAGATTTGGGCTTTCAATACACAGTTTCAAATGAATTTCACTATTTTTCGGTTTCAAAATCCCATTTGACCTCCTAAGATAAATTTGAAACCCAGCTTCTCAAGGAGAACTTCTGGAGACATAAGCCTTGAACCTCCAAGTGGCCCAAATAATGGTGCAAAAGCCCTTTAGAGTGCCTCTGTGATGGGCAACTTGAAGCATGGCATTTCCCTGCTATCATTACCTGCACCTACAACAGAAAACAGATCCCAGCTTTTACTGTAAGTTCATAGCCATTCCCTATGACATTTTACTGAACCAAATCAGATCAACTTGAACCATCCATCTACTGTTCCAGTGAAAATTCTTGTGCAGTAATGAGAGAGGCACTTTTCAAGCATTCATTTTTCAACCCAGTCAGGATTACACTTGTTTGGAAATTCAGAGACAGGCTGATAAAGCAACAGCATCTTAAATTACCAGCTCCTGCTAGAATGTGCCACCTTTTTAACTGTACACACCAAGCTCAAGTCATGTCAAGTAGCTCAAGCTAAAATGCTTACTCTGTGTTTACAGTTGCCCAACAATAATCTGTGATCACCTGCCCACACCTTAAAACATGTGTTAGCAAATGAGGTATTTTGTCCCTGACAGAACTCTTGGCTTTAAAAACTGTTTTTACATAGCTCATGCTATATGACACAAGTTGAAAGCAAAAATAACTTTGTTTTCATTCCCCATTGTATCAAGACACAAGTTTGAGCTACATTCGGCTGGCTTAGTTTGGAAAGGTTTGTCCCCGTAAAAAGAAGGGACAGGGAGAAGAAGGAAATGCAGGTCTGAATTAAGTATTTTGTCCCAGGGCACCTGGGGAGCTAGGAGGATTCTAGCCTCAGACACCTACCAAAAACCCAGAGGAGTTCACACAGCTTTTAAATTAACTAAGCTTGTCAACATACACTCAAGTTGCACATCTGAAGGTACTGGTAGAGAAAACATCCCTTCAATTAGTCTCTCCCATGCATACATAGATATCCAGTCATCCCTGAACAGAGGGGAAAACAGGACAGCACTCTTATCATTTCCAAATTAAAGAGATGAAGAGAACACAGACATTTCCAGGCCATGCTTTCACATACATTTATGAACAACAATTCAATTTATCCTAGTCCCTTCTAACACAAGCAACGCTCATTCTTTCAAATAATGAGATCGCTTTCAGGAAGAGAAAATGAAAGTATAACCAATAACCTGGTATTTCTAGTTCATACAGAAACATTCAAAATAGCAGAGCTTAATTGTAACTAATCCTATTTGAAATTGTGTGCTGTAGTTTGATGGTCACGTTGTTTTATCCTCAGAGTTTAGAAGGAAACATGACACTAAGCCATTTACTTCAACATGTCCAATTTCTTCATAAAGAGTCACCTTCCCTCAACTAAAAGCTGCACACACCATTTAAAACCTAAGATGGCACCTCTTACAAAGCAGTTGGATTTTATCGTTCGAAAGCATGTGTCCAAGTCAAGTACATGTTTGTATTCAACCTCAAATACAAGGCTCTCAAAAAAACATCTCTACTGCCCTTTGTTACCAGCTGCTGACAAAGAAGGGATTAAACGTTCAACTAAGCACAAGTTTTCACCGAGATTGACTGCATTTTTCCTTCAGTCCTGTCTGTCCAGTACCCAGTATGATTTTACTTTCTGGATGGTTAAAAAAGCAAGATTATTGTAAAAAAAAAGATTCAAAATAAAGGGAAGCGAATGAGTGTGTGTACTTAAGTAATAAAATAAAAATACTGATGCCCATGTGGACAATAAGCTTTGTTTTCAGGACCCTAAGCTTGCAATGCTCTCTTTAATAAACAGGGTTGATTTGCTGAAGAACTGGTGATTTTCCCACCAAGGGAGAGGCTCCAGCTTCCAAATTCATAATTCTGCTTCAACACACCAAGAGCATGACTTTTGTAGTGCTGGAGTCCTACTTCGGTAAGTTGCAGAACATCTTCACCCCATTAAGACCTGGAGAAATCTTTGAACTTTAATTCATCAGTGTGAGAGCACACCCACATCTTCTTTTTCAAAACCTACCCTCTGCCTTTTCTGTTTTATGCCCAGCATCACATACTCTAAAAAGAGATGCTTTTAAGTCATTTTAATGGAGCATCTTTCAACAGAAGCCAGGAAAACGGCACTTGATCCCTTCTATTCACTTGCTATGTTAAAAAGAGCAGTGACAGCAGCCACTGGTACACAAAAAACCCACCCAAAACCTAGGACCAGCATCATCAGTTTTCACTCTTCTACGAAAATAATAGCTTCTTACACATCCTCCTTATTTAACGTATTATAAAAGTTAAATAAGAGTCCATTCAAATAGAATGGAAAAGTGAAAACAAGTGTTAATTAGGTGTTAATTATTAATCTTAAACAGGTAAATACTAGAAAAGAAAGCTGACCCACACACCAGTAAGTGTGCTTATCCTCTATTACTTCAGAGTAGAGAACTGATCGGAAGAACGTTTTCCTGCTCATTCTAGTTTTTCAAATGTCCACGTTGAGCCTCACAGAATAACGTTTAGAGGATTTCTGTAGATGTTAAATACAATTATTGCAAACCATTTTATTGTAGTGAAACCAGCAGAGATGTACAGAAAGACCTGCATTCTTCCTCAAGTTGAGAACTAGTGGTTTTGTGTCTACATATATTTGTATGTATTAATGACAAGTTTAAGACAGACATCTTGTCCTGTCTGTGCACAACGGTATTCGGACAAGGACCAAGAAAAGATCCTCCAATTCTAAAGTATTTCTAAAAGCTCCTGGCCTGCTGCTTTTTGTCGTCTCGTTTTTAAAAGCCAGGAAACACCACACATTTAGTAAGTGGGAAACAACACTGTGGGTGTATTTACAGGTAAAGCACATCTTGGTTCATTTGCAACTCATCTGTACATACTAATTTACTGCTAATAATTCCACCTTATACAAACCTAGAATACTAGTCTAGACTACGACGATCTAAACTGTTAAAGAAATAATACAAGAGCAATTGTGCCTATTTACTTTTAAGAGCAAAACCAGATGGAGAGCTTCAACACAGACGTATTTGTTCAGTATTCCCTAATTTTAGCTTACTAATGGAGTGCTCTGAAGCGAGTCTTTAGGCTACATGTATGTTAGTATTTTGCTGATGAACACTTCATGCTCTGCAGGTCAGAAAGCCCTCTGAGGCTCGTTTAATCAAGCAACAAAGTAGGTGCACATAAACCCTAAGTAACCAAGACACCCTTTTATTCTCTGTCACAACTCGAACCGTCCAAGGACCACGGATTTAGTAGCTATTTCTAAATATAACTGCTGAAAGGCCGCTTCCAGCTGACCTAAGACTCACAAAGGGGTGAAGCTGAAGGCGATGGAAAAGGAGAGATGGAACAATCCCTGGGTGGGGTGGCCGCGGCCCCCGGCTTTGTGCAGCCTGCTCGCACAATGCAGTTCCGCCGGGGAGGCTGGGGCTGCCTCCGCCGCCGCCATGTTAGCTCCGCTTCCATGTGCCCGGGCTCTCACGGACCCAGCCGCGCAGGACCCTCTCCCCGCGGCGGGTTCCTCCGGGACACGGAGCGGGAGCGCTCCGGCCACATGAAGGGGGGGAAAGGGGAAATTGGGGCCCGTTCCCTGCGGCGAGGCGAGAGCGCGGCTGGGCAAGGCCCCGCCGAGGGAAACAAAAGGCGGAAGGGAGGGGGAAGGGAGCCGCGCCAACGAGGGGTCTCGCCGGCACCGAGGAGGGGACCGCGGCTGCAGCCCCGCTATGGCCCCGAGGGTCGCGGCCTCTCCGGCCTATACCCACTGGCGGTGCCGCACAGGGCAGGGTGGGGAGTGCCCGGCTGAGTGCTGGGGCCGCCGGAGAGGGCGGACGGTAGAAGGGGCCTGGGGACCCCCGAAAGGGGAAAGGCCAGGAGATGAGGCGTTCGCCCTTCTGGAACCTTCCAGCGGGCGGCCCCTGGGGGCGACGCCCGGAACAACCCGCGCAGGCCACGGGCTCCTTCACCCATGGACCGGGAGGGCACGGGCCGAGGGGGGCGGCCGCGGGCACAGGGAGAGAAACAGGCCGGGCCAGTTCAATGTCCCTTCAGAGGGCCCAGAGCAGGAGGCAAGGCTCGGCGGGCAGCGGGGGCCTCCCGGGGCGAAGGGCCCGAAGGGCAAAGGCAGGGGTCAGCCGGGGGGCACAGGGTACAGGGGGAAGGGATCACCTTTTTCTTCTCCAGGTTGCGCAGCTTTTTGTCGATCACTCCCAGGATCTGCTTCATGGCCTCGGTTTGCACCGAGGTGATGCTGCCGGCCGATGCCTGCGGGGCGGCCGCCGCTGCCGCCGGGGCAGCCTCTCCGCCTGGGCCCGCTTTGCCGCTGCTGTTCGCCATGGTGCTGTTGGTAGCCGAGGGCATCTCTGGGAGAGGGAAACACAAGAGGCAGAGCGAGAGAGAGCGCGAGGCCGCGTTACCGGGGAACGGGCCGCCGCCGGGGACACGCGGGAGGGCGGGGGCGCGGGCGCGCGCGCGCGGCCGCTTCCCCACGCCCAGGGCGCGCGCACGCGGGCCGCACCTGCCGGCGCGCGCCCCCTTCCACCCCTCCCCCCCCCCCGCGCAAAGAACTGATCACGTGACCGCGCAGCCTCTCGCACCCAACGGTCATCCCCCGGGGGTTCGGCCTTTTGCCACCCCGCCGAGGTACCGGAGGGCATCGCCACCCCCCTCACCGTGTGCGCCCTTGGGGAAGGGGGGGGGGGAACTCGGTGCGCTGCGCTCTCGCTTTAGTAATGGCCGCCTCAGCCGACTACCGGCCCCGCCGCCCGCGCTGCTCCTGCTACCGCTGCACCGCGCTACTGGGGCAGAGAGCGAGGGCGCGCACGACAGCGGACCGGGAGCGAGCGGCGCGGGGTCCTCAATGCTTACGGGTGCCCGCGGAGAACGCCTGAGCCCGCCCGCCGAGCGCGCTGTGCTGCCGGCCCTTCCCGGGCGGGAGCAGGCGCTTCCGGCAGCGGCGCCGTCTGTCGGCTCGGCTCTGACAGGGTCTTTCAGGCGCTCGGCGGGCGCCCCCGCGCCAGACACAATAGACGGGCGGAGCGAGCCGGTTTGGAGTTCCCTCAGTTGCCGTCGGCCCGCACCGGGATCCCTTGGGCTCTGCACCGAGCTGCCTGCCTGGCACCACCTCCGCCACTCAGCGCAGCTCGTGGATCAGCCGGCGGCTTTGGGCTGAGGAGGTCTGGGGTAGTGGAGGTCTCCCCTGAGGGAAGCCAATCGCACCGCTCCCGGTATAAGCATCACTACAAAAAGCGTTTTCTGCATATTCATGCCTTTAAGGCACGTCGCTGTAACTGTGGGAGGGTTCCGGAGAGGTGGAGTGAAACAGCTGTGATTAGGCCTTAACTGCGTTTCAGTCACTGGAAACTGCTCTTCGTTTGTCTTTTCACATTGGGTTTCGTGTCAGAGGTACCTGCATCTCTCTACAAATACATCCCCAAATACTACGTGACATATTTTACACATCTCTATGGCCTAAAGCTGCGCCGTGTCTAGCTAGTATTTCATAAACCTATACTGGCAGCAAAAAATTACTTCAATATTAAAGACGTTGTACTGACATAGCATTAGTTTTTCTGTGAACAAAAGGACATTTCTGAATGAGTGCTCTGCCTTGTTAGTGAGGTACGGCTTGAAAATGAAATGCCACTGCCTTCAGCAGGCTGGGGAGCTAAATAACATTAGACAGGTTTTAGTATTTATTCAGTTGTCTTCCTGGAATTAATGGATGGAAGACTTTGGGAATATAAGGCCCTGAAAATTCAATTTCCACCATTTTTTTCTCTTCATTCCAACTATGAACATTGCTTCTTATGCTTCTACTTCCCATGTATGCCTGCATTTTCTGTAGCAGCTCTACAAAATGCTTTGTTATTTTATATTGGATTATTTGCTTCCCAAATCATCTCCTTTTGCATAACAGATTATAAAACAAGTGCAGTGAATCACCCAACATGGTTATTTCAGTTGAATAAACAAAGTATAACAAAAAATCTTTAAACATTGAAAGCCTGTTTCTTTTCACTGTTCACCAAAGAGGTTTTGTTGATACCATTATGTTTACAAGGCTTAATTTCTGTGCCTTTACTTCTCCAAGCCCCTTACACAGGGGCTGAAATTACCTTTTTCCTAAGTCAAATGCACATTGAGGCCTTTTGACCCAAAAATACAATGCTTTAAAATCATATGGAGTTGCTTCATGCGTTTGTATACATTTCTTATTACACTGCCATTGCAATGCTACATAAGCTCTAGGCCCTCAACAGCTTAGCTAAGTTTTAGGCCAAGTCATAGGATGCTGACATAGCTTGTACTCAAATCCTGTATTGCTGAAGAGCTAAAAAGATACCTGTGATAAAAGAAGAATCACAAAATCCCAGACTGGTTTGCGTTGAAGGGACCTTAAAGCTCATCCAGTTCCATCCCCCTGCCACGGGCAGGGACACCTTCCACTGGAGCAGCTTGCTCCAAGCCCCTGTGTCCAACCTGGCCTTGAACACTGCCAGGGATGGGGCAGCCCCAGCTTCTCTGGGTACCCCGTGCCAGTGCCTCACCACTCTAAATTGGTGGTGATGTATTAGAATCCATGTTGGACCAGAATAAAGCCTGGTCTTGTCCACCAACATGAGATATTTATTCTTCATGGGAAAGGGTAACACAAAACAGCAACTGTTCAGGATCTCCAAGTAAAAAAAAAAAAAGGTTGAAAATACTGCTTCTGAGAGCAGTTATTACATAAGATTACATGAGCACTAATTACATGACAATTACTGCATCAAAGCTCTTCATAATTACACTGGATGCCTTTTTGGTTAGCCAGAGACTGAATTGAGAGTGCTAAGTTTACATGCTAAAGCATAAGTAACTATAAGCAAAGGATTAAGTTCTTATCTTAGGCAGGAACTGCAAAAGGAGGACTTTCATATTATACTTGTTAATTTAGTGTGGGAAAAGCCTTACTAAATTATTTTAACAGATTTTTCCTCTATCATGGTGACTTTGTACCAAAAATATCTGTCACTGTTGCTTTACAGGACAATTCACCATCAGCACTGTGCTGCAATCGCCCTGTGTAGGTTTCAACCAAATCTCCAGACCCTTCAGTGGCCTCTTGGAGCAGCCTGAGAAAAGCTGGAGTACGTGTGGTTCCCAACTCTGTGTCAACTTCAGAAGTAAAGCTTCCAAAATTCCCACAAAAATAAATGCACACAAACAGGCTGTACTGCATAGTTGATCTCAGCTGCCAAAATACCATAGAATCACAGAACTGTTTGCACTGGAAGGGACCTTAAAGCTCATCCAGTTCCAACCCCCTGGCACGGGCAGGGACACCCTTCACTTGGAGCAGGTTGCTCCAAGCCCCATCCAACCTGGCCTTGAACACTGCCAGCTATGGGGCACCCACAGCTTCTCTGGGCAACCTGTTCCTGAAAGCCCTGCATAACAATTCCCCACCATCAAATAAGAGTTGAGACCTCAACCTCTTTAAGGAAGCGTTGAACCACCTCTGATACGTGAGTAAACTTTACCTTGGCAACTTGTAGCATGACCAACTTGTAATTAGCTTGTGGGTCTCAACCTTTACATTTCTTAGAGATAAGTACCCCCTTAGTTACCATGTGTGGTATGATCTCCTTGTAAATCTGGATTCGGGTCTCTTCTCTTTCTTTGATGTTAGCTGGCTGGTTGAAATCAGGCTTCAGCATAATCACATGCAGATCACATCTTATTTGTAGGGAGCTGGCTTTGTATTTCATGTTTGTGAGCTGTGTAAATAAAGGCCAGCTCTGGAGCTGCTGAGTTTGGAGTGACAATTTCTAATCACTACAGAGAGCCAAGAGAGGAGAGAAAGTCACCCCAGCAAAGGGGCATGTAGCACTTCCACAAACATGAATTTTTAGACCACAGGATTGCTCAGATGAGGGAGACCTCCACCTCCCTGCAAGCAGTGTGGAGATCTGGATTTAGAAGTCACTTAGCCTTGCTCTTCATGTTCCTGGGAAGCGTCTCCCATGCAGGATCTCTCCGGGTTTTCATTAATCTTTATTTTACATCAGCTGTAATCGGAAAGTTTGAATGCAGCTTTCCCATCTGCTTCTTGGTTTCCAGCCCTCAGAAAGACAAATCCAGACACAGATGTATTTAGAATACACACAACCAGACAGCTGTATGAAAAAGAAGACCAGCTGATTGGTATGATCAGGGCTCAACTCCTGTATAGATACGCTGTGGGGACATAGAGCTTCCTCACTGCAGTGCTGTCTCAGGCAGAGTTTTTCTCCTCTAGATCACTTTTCTTACCCCTGACACATCTTCCCAGCCCTTCCCATTCCACATTTCCTCCATTTGCCCACCTCCTTTGGGACTTTTGACCAAGCCAAGCCTTGCTGCTCCCTCTGTGGAAAATCCTAGAGGGAAGTACAGCTAGTACCCTGCCCCTTTGTTCTAACTCCAGGTAAAAAAAAAGAAAGTGCTCCTCCCTAGTGTCCTAAGCTAAGCAGGGATCTTCTTGTTACCCACTTTTCCAATACCTGTCCTACATCTCACTAGCTTTCCCACCCTGCTCCCCCATACTGGGAACTTCCCTTCTATATTATCACAGATTTATTCATCCATCAGTTCCCTGACAGGTCTCATCGAATGGTCTGAAACTTCAAACGCCACTGAGAACATGACAGTAAGAGCAGGCATAGAGCTTAAGCTCAAAGCAGATCCTATTCCACCCGTGGCGCAGAGAAAATAAGAAACACCAACTATTGCCAACTACTTTCAGTTCCCAGATTCAGCATCCGAATATTATGGTTAGAAAAAGAAATGAACCAAAATACTTGACTTACAAAATAGCAACATTTAAACCAGGGTACTGCTGAGGAGTCAGCAATATCTTTCATGTGCCTTTTTGGTTACAAACTAACTTCGGAGAGCTGTATCTGGAGCAGAAGCAACCCAGAGCAGGAGTCCTGTGTGGGAACAGGAGCCCCAGAGAGAGTTTCATTGTCTTAAGAGGGGCCCACTCTGCGCATTTCAGAGCTGTGGTTCCTCCTGCTTATCAGGCAGGTTTATAAAGTTACTGCTTTGCTTTTATTTAGGTTTCCTTTTCCCAAAGGAATTTGCCCAGAAGAGAGGAGAAATTCCCATTCTATCTAAGCCCACAGGCTGGCTAAGTTTCATAATAAAATTAAACCCAGACAAAACAAACCTCTCTGAATAAGGGCTGGAAGCTCTATATATGTTTTTGATTGAGTGAAACTGAATTACAAGGGTTTTTTTTTGCCACAAATGTTAACAATTGATGTGTTAGCAGCAAGGTTAATAAAAAATGTAAAAGACACTTGGGTTCAACGGGGATCAAGTGATGGCTCATAGTGTGTTTAGTCAAAACTAGCATAATTCCAATGCAATACAGAAAAAATCGACTAAATGCTACTAAATGATAAATTTTCCTACATAGCCATTGATGGGGAATCATTATAAAATGTACTTCTGTGTCACACAGTTCTCTCATGAAGCAATTGTTTGCAGAAGTCTTCAGCTTAGAGAAGTAAATAACCAGGCTGGGGCACTACTTGGCTACACAAACTATATGCAAATTAGATCCAGTATTCATTTTCATGTACAGAGTGCTGAGGTAGGAAGGGAGTATGTTCATCAGACACACCAAAGAAGTCTCAACACTGAAAAGCAGCTCAAAACTTCTTAGGGTTTTATATTTGCCTGAATTAGCTGCTTTGAATGGTCCCAGTTTACCACACTATCCAGCTGTCCCCAGTGAACAAGGTGATCCTGCCCCTCTGCTCTCAGGAGACTCCACTTGAGGCACTGTGTGCA